TTCTTTGGGTAGCAAAACGTGTATAACATACACACATGTGTATGTACCATTTACCCTTTTAACCATTTTTCAGTGTCAAGTTCAGTGGCATTCAGCACATTGACACCGTTGCACAACCACCACCAGCCTCTGCCCCCGGATGGAACTTTCTCATCTTCGCAAACTGAAACTGTCCCCGTTAAACATGAACTCCCTACTCGCTCTACCCGCAGCCCCTGACGACCCCCTCCCTTCTTTCTGTTTCTATGAGTTTGACTTCTCTAGGCACCTCACATGAGAGGAATCACCCAGTATCGGTCATTGTGTGACTGGCTTATTTCATCTAGTGTACAACGTCTTCAAGGTTGGCTTTGATGAACTCTTTATATTAACATTTGTTGATAATACACTCTATCCCAGAGCTGTGCTAAAGGCTTCACATTACTGTCCTGTTAAAAAAAAATTAATGTCCCCCAGAGCACAAGTGGGGGAAGGGCAGAGAGAGAGGGAGACACAGAATCCGAAGCAGGTTCCAGGCTCTGAGCTGTCAGCACAGAGCCTGACGCAGGGCTTGAACTCACAAACTGTGAGATCATGACGTGAGAAGAAGTTGACAGCTTAGCCGACTGAGCCACCCGGGCGCCCCTGTATTGTCCATTTAATAAAATGTGAGGTAGGAGTTATTCTGTGGCAGTTTAGCAGCTGGTGAAACCAAAGCTGGAGAAACTTAAGTCACTGGGACGCCTGGGCGGTTGAGTCAGTCAAATGTCCGACTTCAGCTCAGGCCATGACCTCATGGTTGGTGGGTTCTAGCACCGCATCAGGGTCTCTGCTGTCAGCGCAGAGCCCGATCGGCTCCTCTGTCTCCCCCCTCTCTGCCTCTACTCCCCTCTTAAAAAGCAAAAAACATTAAAAACATTTTTAAAACTAAAGAAGGTTAAGTCACTTACTTAGACACGAAGCAGGCACGAAGCGCACACTGCCTCACAGCCACACCAGAGGTCTGGGCTCCAGCCACGTTCTCTCAGTCCTTCTTGCTTCCGCTCAGTCCTTAGCTTATGAGAGCCATCGGGAAGCAGCAAGATTAGGTGGGTTCCGACTCCCGATCTGCCTCAAATTAAAAATGTGTATGAAAGAAAAGCAATCTGTCTTTCTGGTATCTTCTTGAGAAAACACTCCTCATAAGCTCCATTTGTGAAAAGTTAAGGGGTACCGGCCGAAGGGATGCAACGGGGGAACATTTCCACTAAAAAGTGAAACACAAATTTAAGAATGTTTTCCCCTGTTCTGATAAAAGTCTCCTAAGAGAAAAAGTATAATAAAGTCAAATCCAATATTATTCAGCAACTGGAACGAAAGAATGGTATCTTGTATAGTGAAACAAATTATGAGGCTACATCTTTATATAATTTAATTATTTTTTATTTATTTAACTTTTAAAGTTTATTTATTTATTTTGAGAGAGAAAGAGAAAGAGAGAGAGAGAGAGCACTCCAGCAGAAGGGCGGAGAGAGGGAGACACAGAATCCCAAGCAGGCTCCGTGCTATCAGCACAGAGGCCGGCCCCAGGGCTTTGGGTTTACAAACCCTGAGATCATGACCTGAGCTAAAACCAAGAGCTGGACGCTTAGCTGACTGAGCCGCCCAGGTGCCCCTATATAACTTTTTTAAAAAGCTTAATCGAGGAGCTCCTGGATGACTCGGTTGAGCATCGACTCTTGATTTTGGCTCAGGTCATGAACCCAGGGTTGTGGGATCGAGCCCCGTGTTGGGCTCCACGCTGAGTGTGGAGCCTGTTTGGGACGCTCTCTCGCTCCCTCACTCTCGCTCTCTCTCTTCCCCTCTCCCCAACTTATGCTTTCTCTCAACTACAACAACAAAAACTTAATTGATACAGAAGTCGCATACCACACAATTCTCTTATTTATATCATACTATTCAAGACCCCAACTTTTCCTCGGATGAAAGTTGCCTTACCTTCTGAGCACCTTACATTCCTCTGATTGGTTTGACTGGTGAGAGTCAACAGAAGCAGAGCCCAAGGGGCTGAGCTAAGCCCAGCGGCACGAGTCGCTGAGTTCCACGTTAGTGATTTGTATTTCGTCATTGTTGTCCGTGCTGTTTCTATGTCCGTGACTATTTCCATTCCTGAACGTTTTGGGTCTTGAAGGTTCCTATGTTGGTAGGCTATTGGGAGTTCCAATATTATACAACAGCTACAGCAATCGAAAAGTTTCGGTTTCCAATCTGCCAGCATGGTGGTGGCTTCAGTAGGTAGGTCCTTCCCACCATGTGTATCAGCATCGCCAAGAGCGGAAGAGATTTCTACTTGCAAATTCAGATGTTGTTCTGAGAGCAGCTGAGAACCCCCAGGCTCCAAGCCCCAAGCAGGAGCTCCTTTGAGGGTGGGGGGACCCTCCCCCTGTGCAGAGACAAGACCAGGAAATGGTAAGGGGTCATGCAAAGGCGGGGGCGGGGGGGACAAAGAGCCAAGGAACCAGAATGTTCTTTCTCTGCTTCTGCTCTACCTGCTTTTCCCAGGGTCTGGGGATGAGGGGGGAAAAGTGTAGGGAGCCTGGAGAGCCCAGTCGTGGGGATCCAGCCGGACTCCTCCTCCCTCTCCCCACGCTCTTATTTGGACATTGCAGGTGCTTCACAGATCACACCAGAACGAACCGCTCAGGGCAGTGGTGTAGGGAGAAGAAGAAATGGATATGTTGGCCTGTTAACTGGGTCTGCAGCAAAGCCTGCATGGATAAGAAAAAAGACTTCTGGTGGTAGGAAGGAAAGAAGAGCAAATTCTGTGGTTGGTTGTGACGGAGAGATTATACACAGAAAATAGTAGCCGGCATCTATGCAGTGCTATGTAAGGCAGCTGCGTTAAGGACTTCCCTATATTTGCTGATCTTTCACAAAATCCCACAAGGTGAATACATTCTTATCCCCATTTTATGGACAAAGAAACGGAAAAACAGAAAGTTCAGTAACTTGACACATGTCCGACTGGAGTGGCAAAGCGGGGTCAAAACTCCCCCGGGTCTGTGCTCCCCTGCTGTGTTCTATTGCTTGAAACTCATACACTGCAGGATCCACTGTATTTGCACATAGACACAGGCATATTGTATATAAGTGTTTATCTCATATATCTTCCTTCACATTTGAAGATGAGCCAGTAACGGTGGTACTTCTGGCATTGGATTCACTTCCTTGAAAAGCAAATTTTGGGGATACCTGGGGGCTCAGTTGGTGAAGCATCCAGCTCCTTTTTTTTTTTAAATGTTTTATTTTATTTTTGAGAGAGAGAGAGACAGAGCATGAGCAGGGGAGGGGCAGACAGAGAGGGACACACAGAATCCAAAGCAGACTCCAGGCTCTGAGCTGTCAGCACAGAGCCCGACGCAGGGCTCGAACTCAGGAACCATGAGATCATAACCCGAGTTGAAGTTGGAGGCTTAACTGACAGAGTCACCCAGGCGCCCTATCCAACTCTTGATTTAGGTTCAGGTCATGATCTCACGGTTTGTGGGTTCGAGCCCCACATCCGGCTCCACGCTGACAGTGTGAAACCCGCCTACGATCCTCTCTCTCCCTCTCTCTCTGCCTCTCCCCCTCCCACACACTCTCTCTCCCTCTCTCTTTCAAAAGTAAATAAATTCATTTTAAAAAAGAAAGAAAAGCAAATTTCATCAGCTTCTTTTCAAGAGATGGAGTCTTGATCATTCTGTCAGCCATTACCTTTTGGCCCAGGTAGACAGAGGGGGTGCTGGGCTGGTAAATGTCTATGAACAGAGGTGGGACCCAACCTGTGGTCACACTGTTGGCACCCACCTCCCACAGACCACGGGGGCAAAGGTAACTGATTTATTGATGTGAACGTGCTTGCTCTGCCCTTGAATTTTGACTCAAATGGAGCCAAATGTGTAGACTTGTAGAAAGATGCTTCCATTATTTTTGTTCTAAAGGGAAACAGCAGTGATCTCTTTATTTTAAAACTTGATGCCCTCATTTTCTTTCACTTTATCTTCCATGGTATTTCTTATTTTGAGTATACGTGAAGGATATTAGGGTGAGGAATTTAATCTATGAGGTCATTTGGTCAACTAATTCACTCCCTGCTGTTATTGTGCTCCTACTGTGGGCACAATTCTAGGCTCCCCAGACACAGAAGCACAGGGGACACACCGTCTCCAGCCTCATGGAATTAGTCAGGGCTGAGAGATGATATGCAAATAAGCAAATATAATAAACAAAGTGATTTCAGAAAGATATATATGTATACATATATATTCAGGAAGACAATAACACATAATGGTGTTTGAGAGACAGTTGAAATGGGACAGAATTATTGCTTAGACAACACATCGTGTTTACCGAGCATTTTTATAAAGGGGCACCTGGGTAGTAGCTCAGTCGCTTGAGCGTCCGGCTTCGGCTCAGGTCATGATTTCGCCATTTGTGGGTTCACGCCCCATATTGGATTCTGTGCTGACAGCTCAGAGCCTGGAACCTGTTTCGGATTCTGTGTCTCCCTCTCTCTGCCCCTCCCCTGTTGATGCTCTGTCTCAAAAATAAACATTAAAAAAATTTTTTTTAAGTACGTAGAGTCTTAAGGTATCTGAGATACAGAGAAAGTGTACAACACACAACAGAGGGGACATCAGATTCCCAGTGGGTTGACATATGACTGGTCTCTGAGTTATCAGAGGAAACTTTCTGAGATAACACCAGCGTTCAAATGTCAATGACACCAAAAGTCTCCCTGGCTCGAATGCCCACAGTGAAATAGGGTCCCCCTGGCTTTGTGGAAACAGTCTGGCTGGAAACTTTCCTCCCAGAGAGCTCTCCTCTCCCTGGATTAGCACCTTGAGCCTGTGTTTGTTCATTACACAACTATTCGGGATCCGCTTCTCCCAGAAGCATTCAAAACCTGCCAAGTTGGTGTTACATAAAAACCAAAAAGAGAAAGAAAAAAGAAAGCTTGTGCAGTCAGCAAATATAAGCTGGTAAGCGGAGCCGGCGTCATTCGCTCGGCGAGAAGGTTGCTGATACCCTGTGTCGTGCCGCTGAGCAAGAGCAATGGACATGGAGAAGGTCAATTCCATGGACTTCGGAGAATTTGTGGAGGTGTTTGGGAATGTCGTCGAGAGGTGTCCTCTGATTGCCGCTGCTGTTTGGTCGCAGCGCCCGTTCTCAGACTTGGATGACTTAGAGAAGCACTTCTTTGCCTTTATCGATGCCCTTCCACAGGAAGGTAAGGCTTCAGCATTAGTTGCCGAGAGTCCGTACAAAGGGATTTCAAGCATATGTGTCAAAGTAGTTTTAGACGTTTCGGCTAAACATTACTGATCCCTGATGTATTGATTAGTATTTCTCTTGTGAGGCTCAGTTTCCTCAGACACTTGCAAGGTGTCAGGCCAGAAGTAGAACTAGAGATGTATGTTGGCTCAGGTAAAGCGGTTGTTAAATATTAAAGCTCTGAGGTCACGAAGGAAGAGGAACCAGGCTGTTCTCCTCAGGCCTCACAGCCGCTCGGAGGCCAAAGTTCAGGCGGAGGGCCCACCCTCTCTCAGCCGAGTGTGTTCACTTTGGGAATGTCCTGTATGCAAGAGAGGAGACAGCACGGTATCAGACCATCTCAGGAGCCCAGGGGAAAGAGCAAATGGCTGACATTTTTCCCAGAAAGGGCCAGTTTGGACTGGACCACTGAGGAAAGTAAACTCACTCAGATCAGCAACTCCCTCCCTAAGGGAGTGAAGAGGAAAAGACAAAAATCTGAAGGAATTCCTCTGGAGAAAGGGAAAGAAATTGTTGATTTCCTCTGGGGACAGAGAGAGAGAAGGCCACACTTCTGGGTGTGGGGTGAGGAGAAGTGGAGGCGGAGGTTTAGGCTTAACCCCAAGTGACTCAGAATGACACATGGCCTCAGGGATTCAGAGACCGAGGGTTAGAGTCAGGGCTGCTTCCTGGGCTGTCCTGATATCCTCAGAAAATCCTGACGGGAGGCGAGGGGCAGGGGCTGCCTTCACACAGGGGCCTTCCACGGCTGGGGTGGGGGCGGGGGGCTGGAGGACGGCCACGATCTTCTCCTCCATAACGACGCTGACGGCCAGTCCTGCCCATCCGTCCAGAGTCCGCCACCTGGGGTGGTTTCCGATTATCAGATGAACGTCTCCCAAACAAGGAACTCATTTTAATTTATTTTGGGCACATCTCACAGGAGGGGAGGATCGTGTTCTAAGACCAAACTGACAGAAATGTTGATAGCCACCCACTTCTGGGGCCTCTCTCAGCTCCGCCACTGGGCTGGGGCACGAGCGGGGCCGAAGGACACCAAAGCCTCATGACTAATGATTCACAGGATGGCCCGTCCCAGCCTGATGAGCCAAGGGGTCCCCTCGTCACCCCACAGCCTGTAGAACAGGCTGGAAAGGGTAAGAAGCTCCCAGAGCCCATGGTCTAAATGTCTGACAGGAAAAGGCAGGTCAGATGAAAGCTTTCTAGGCCAGAGGGGAAATAATCTTTGCAGGGTGTGAATGCCTTATGAATGACATTTTTTTCTATCAAGCTAAAAAAAGAGAGAGAGAGAGAGAAATTCCATGATCTGTCTGAATACAGGGCTGGGAGGGCTGGGGAGAGAAAGGATTCTATGGATAGCTTAAATCTAGTATTCGCTGGTTTATCCAGTTATTCAACATTTAAAAAATTTATTTCTGAGAGAGAAAGAGACAGCGTGAGCAGGGGAGGGTCAGAGAGAGAGGGAGACACGGAATCTGAAACAGGCTCCAGGCTCTGAGCTGTCAGCACGGAGCCCGACGCGGGGCCCGAACCCACGAACTGTGAGATCATGACCTGAGCCGAAGTCGGAGGCTTAACCGACTGAGACACCCAGGCGCCCCCAGTTATTCAGCATTTATTTAGGGTTTACTGTGCCAAGAACTTAGATAATAAAACTAAAATGTCCCTATTTCTGTCTTCCTTCCTCCCCCAGCAGTCACACCAATCAGTTTGAGCAGAGGTTCTCGTCCAGGTTAAGGGAAAATCCAATCACAGTCCTGAGCAAAGTAGGATATGGGGATTGGCATTCGCCCCCTCCCTCCTGAGGCTTGTATTTGACCCCCTCCTGCCTCAGTGGGAACTCTGTATTCTGGTCAGTGTCAGACTCCTACATCACTCAGTGAATAGGGACTTAATAAAGGCTTCCAGGCATGAAGTGATTCAGAAGATGAGATCATAAAATGACTTCGAAAGATGGTGGATCCTGGGATTACCCTTCCCCCCCCACATTTCACCTGGAGTGACTTTCGTGTCAGGTCCGTGGGACAAAATTACCAGAGGGAGCTGGGATCATCTGGGTGTTTGTTTCCTTCCACATTAGACACTGCTCATTGGAGGGACCTCCCTATGTGGATCCCAGGCCCGTGTCCACATTCTCTTAGGCAGCTGGCAGCAAGGCTTCAGTGCTATAAGCGTGGTTACTCTGTAGCCAGTCACCTCGATGATGGTGGGTAGGCGATGTTAGCAATGGTAAGAATATTAAGAGCAAAAATGCATTTACCCCTTACGTGTGGTATGTTTCAGAAACTTTTCTAGACACTTTGCATCTGTTAACTCATTTAATCCTTATAATAATCCTATAAAACAAGTATTTCGTTATTATATCCATTTTACAGATGAGAAAACAGAGGCACAGAAAGGGTAAATAACTTGATCAAGAACACACGGTTAGAAAGTGGCAGGACTGGGATTCAAACCTGATGGTCAACCCAACCGCTTTTGAAGCATTTTTAGAGAATCAAAACAAAGAGTTTCTGGGGGGTTCTTTTTTTAATTCACTAATTTATTCCATTAATATTAAGGCTTGATGTCCTAGATCCTATGTTGAGCTGTTTCAATAAGCAAATAAAATGGGATTTATTGCATAGTTTAGCTTTAATCTGCATAGTTGGGAACAAACTGGGTGTAATAAAGTCTTTCGATCCTATAACTAAAAGAGACCTTAAAAAAAAGTTCAGGATAAGGTGATCTACCTAGCCAAGGATTTGGTTTATACATGATCTAAGGAAATCCTCTACAATTAGCAGAAAACAAAATCTTGCTTCTGGACTATAAACCAAGGTTGACAAGCCACTCGGGTTAACACCATGATGATTACTGGTCAGTAGGGGGCAGTCCAGGATTAATATTCAGTTCAGCACTAACTGGCAAAATGCCCTTTCAAGCCAATCAGTTCCTAATTTCCAGGCAAAGTGCTTGGAGAAAGTAAAGGGAAAAGAGTTGAAACACACACACACACAAACACACACACCAATTCAGTACTGATCTGTGTTAAAAAATCAAAGATTAAAAAATTGGCATAAAATAAGGTTAATCATGCATCTCCTTGTGACATTTCAGAATTGCGATAATGCCTTAAGTTATTACTGAATACCTTTTTTCAGAACATAGTTGTCGAATGAATAAAAAAGATACTAATTATTCCCTGGAATGCAGGCTATTGGGTATTTAGAAGTAGGTATCCAAATGTGTTCAATCAAAAAATATACAGCACTCCTTACTAAGAGCGATGTGTTGGTCAAGCGCCCGCTGTGCCCAGGAATTGTCCCAGGCATTATGGGTAGTGCAGAGAATAAGACAAGTGCCTACCTTCCAGGAGTTTACATTCGAGTCAAGAGAGACTGGATTAACATAAGTAAATGAGACAATTTCACGTTCTAAAAAAGTATTAGAAAGACTATAAAAATAGGTCTTTCTTAGGAAGTGACATTTGAGTTTAAAACCAAAAGATGAGGGGCGCCTGGGTGGCTCAGTCAGTTGGGCGTCTGACTTCAGCTCAGGTCATGATCTCACCGTCTGTGGGTTCGAGCCCTGTGTCAGGCTCTGTGCTGACACATCAGAGCCTGGAGCCTGCCACCGATTCTGTGTCTCCCTCTCTCTCTGCCTCTCCCTTGCTCGCTCTCTGTCTCTCAAAATGAAATAAAGATATAAAAAAATAAAACCAAAAGATGAGAAGGAAACAGTCTAAGCCCCAGGAGAAGGCCATCTTACGAACCTGAGACGTACGGCATTTGGGGGACACAAGAGCCCACAGTGAGTGGAGAATCGTGACGAGTGGAGGCATCTAAGGAAAGAGAGGTCGGGTAGGAGGACTCAGGTGGTAGTAAAAGTGAGGGGCGATGCTCGTTTGGACTAGGGTTGGAGCAAGATTGATGGAGAGATATGGCTGGGTTCTCAGAATAGATTTTAGAGTTAGACTCAACAGGTGTTTGGGATTTTTTTTTTTTTTAATGGATATGGGGGAAGGCAGGTCAAAAACAAATAAAACTTAAGGACAATTCCTAAATTTCCAGTCTGAGCATCTGAGTGTGGTGGTGATGCTGTCTTCTACAATGAGGAAGACTTTAGAGTTGAGAGGACAAGGTGGAAAATGGGACCCTGTTAAGTCTGAGATGCCTAATAATCATCCAAATGAAAATATCGAGTGTCCAGTCAGACCATAGCAAAGGAACTCAGTGGAGAGCTGGAGGCTAGACTGGATCCAGGTGTCATTTAAAAAAAACAAAACCTGATGGCATTTAAAGCCAGGGGACCCAGTGAGACCACCAGGGCATCGGTGGAAATACAGAGGGGAAGAGATGTAGGTACTGAGTCCTGCGGTACTTCAGCGTTGGTGATCGGGCAGAAGGAGAATCAATGACGAAAGTAGCCAAGGGGTGCGAATCCTTTAGGAAGAGAGGAACAACCATGTGACAGTCTCTCAAGAGGTTGAGGAAGAAGACAGGAGCCCGGGCCATTGGGTTTGAGCAAGATGTCCATCGTCTGTGACCTCGATGAGTGCAGACTGGGTGGCGGGCGGGACTGAAAGCTTGAAAGAGTGAACCTGGAACAGAAGGTGGGAAAGGGGGGAAACACTGAGTCCACGGCCCCTTTGAGGAGTTTGCTGTAAGGAGGAGCAGAGATTCAGGGAGAAACTAGAGGGCGACAGGGAATCAAGGGAGGGTTTTAATTTTGTCGGTGGGATGAGGGACTCCAAGGCACGTTTGTGGCTTGCTTGCTGAGGATAAAGCGGTGTCAGGGGTCAGGAGGCGCGGGGGTGGGGGGTGTGTGTGGAGAAATGGATGTTTGAAATTATACTCTTGATACGAAAAGAGGGGCTGGCTTCAAGGACACAACAGACTGGGGTGGGGGGAGGGGTGCCTGGGTGGCTCATTTGTTTAAGTGACTGACTTTAAGCCTCCAGCTCTGGCTCAGGTCATCATCTCCTGGTTCCTGAGTTCCAGCCCCACATCGGGCTCTCCGAGGTCAGCACAGAGCCTGCTTCTGATCCTGTGTCTTCCTCTCTCTCTCCCCCTTCCCCATGCCTCCACCTACTCTCTCTCTCTGCGTCTCAAAAATAAACACACACACAGCCCAGAAGGGATAGATGACCCATTGTACCAGCAGGGAGAACACACACTTGGTACCGATGTAGTGACCCCGGTGGGCTGTAATGGGATTCTAAGCCCATTACCCGTTCTGTATTGGCCACTATTGCCTGCCCTGTTCTCCTATTGAAACAAAGGGTCTGCTCTGTACCATGAACTCCCCTAGACTCAAAGATTCATGACATGTGGCCACAGCCTACATCTCTACGTGTGACGTGCCAATGGCAGGGGCAAGTAGGATTTCAGGAAAGACTGAAGAACAGGCAGCAGTGAAACGCTCCTGCAAACCACAGGACATTGGACTGGCCTGGGTCAGCGCCTTCCTGGATGGTACTTCAGGGGTCAGTGGTGTGGGGCAGAAAAGGCGGAGTCATTGGCTGGACAGGATCAGGTTCTATTTTTTTCTAAGCTACCATCCTCTCATGCCTCCTCCTTCTGCTTTTTTGTTTTTTTAATCTGCAGCTGTGTATATGTGTCGCAGGTGTGCGTGCATGTGTGCGTGTGTGCGCGTGTGTGTTTTCTTCTTCTCTCTGCCCTGCCCTTTTCTGGGCCTCCCTTCTCTATTCCCTCTACCTTCCTCACAAACAGTGTAAAACGCAGGCTCAATCCTAGGCAAACATTAACCCCAGACAGTGTTTTTCAAGAGGGGAGACAACCCAAGGGAGTGAGAAGCGAGGTGCCAGGCCGCTAGGGGGGTCGGCTCCAGCGGTTTGGGGACCGACGCCAGCCCCACGCTGGCCCTCGACACCAATAACTATTTCTCCCCAAGCTCGAGCTGAGCCTCTGGAGAGTAAGAAATAGGGAGGAAAGGAAGTCAAGAGGAGGGGTGGGTGCTAAGACCCGGTCGCGGCACCCCCTCGCCTAAAGGTTGCTTTGAAAACCTGAATATGCAAGGAGGGGGCCCTGGAGGAGAGCTCTGGGGTCAGGACCTGTGGAGCCGCCCAGGACTCTATTTCCCCAGCCCAGCCGGCCATTGGGAGGCCCGAGGCCCACACGGCTGGGTGGTGCGGATCGGATTTGGGCGGCAGGTGGCCTCCAGGGCCGGGGGTGGGGAGCGCGGCAGGTAGGGAATTTAACACCTTCATTTTCGCCCCACCCGGACCCGGGAAAGAACCACTTTGCGTTTGCTGTGCCCTACAGCAGTGGGGTTGTAGAGGTGGGATGACTTCCGTTCAAACGCCCTTGTAGACATAGCCAATGTCCCCCAAGTCACCTGGTATTTGAGCGACTAGCTCAGCGACCTTGGCCAGGCCCCCTAATCCGTTCTGAGCCTCCTTCGAATCCTCTCTTAAAACAGATGCTCCCGTTCCCGCGACCTGGGCCCTGGTCTGTGAGTTAGATGGTGCAATCCCAACCATCCGTCAATTGGGCAGAAACTATAAGGTTTGAGGACGGGGAGAGCTGTATGCCGGAGCTAGAGCGAGCTTTAAGTGATCTCCCTTTCCACAGAGCCCCTGACTCATCTCGGCGCCAGAGTCGGAGGCTTGCAGCAGGCACCGCAGTCCGGTTATGTCCACCACGACTAACAGCACTGCTGTTTATTGGATGTTTGCCAGCATTAGGCGCTGGGTTTGGGGGGAATGAATTGTCTTTAAGCCTCACAACTACTCGGCAAATTAGCTGTCATTACCTCCGTTGTACAGGTTATCCTCTGCGCCGTCTTTGGGATCTATATTCGGAGAAAGGAGAAAGGGAATGAGCCTGGACTGGGGGGTGGGGGGTGGGGGGGGCATGGGCGTGGGGGGTGATTGGGCGTTATTTTCCTAAAAGGAGGAGAGCCACTTTCATTCAGAAGGCTGTGGGATTCCGGCTGGAAACGAGTTTCTTTGCGGTTAATCATCTGTAAGGCTCTCTGGACGCTTGATCCCAGAAGCCCCAAACTCACACGTAGGATCACAAAATCCTGGACGTTTATCTGCCGAGCCCCCTGGATGCTATCCCTGTCGGACCCTCCCGCCCTTCTCCTGTGGAACAGAACGAACCCCATTCTGTGGCTTTTGCAGGAAGTCTTCGGGCCCCTGCGTCCGGCCCCCTTCGACATCAAAGCCCCCTTGAGAGCAAAGGACTTTGAAAAGATACGAAACGCGAGGGCTCCTTATCGCGTCCCTGCTCCCTCCCGAGCAAGTCGTAAATTCCGAGCTCGGAGGCCTCTCCCCGCCGCTCTTCTTGCCCCAAGGTCTCAAAGGACAAACTTGTCACTTCCCGCCCCGCCCCTGGGTCTGGGCCGAGGCCGCAGGAGCTGGGACGGAGGGGCGCAAGGTTCGGGAAGTATTGGGGGGCACCCCTGCTCATCCAGGACACCCCCTGCTGCCCTCGGGCCCCTCCCGAAGACCCCGCTGCTCCGCCTCCCCGCCCCCACCCCCAAGCCCCCAGCGCGCAGGGCGGGAGGCCCGCGGGCCGCCCCGGGCGCCCTCCCCGCCGCGCGCTCACGCGCGCCCGCGGTGTCTGTGCTTCCCCGCAGGCCAGGAGGGCGTCCTGCGCTGCCACCCGGACCTGGCGGGCCGCGAGCTGCAGCTGGGCACGCTCACGGCCGAGTCGCGGCGCGAGCAGACGGCCGCGGGGCTGACCAGCCTGGAGGCGGACGAGCGGCGCCGGCTGGCGGAGCTCAACGCGCGGTACCGCGCGCGCTTCGGCTTCCCGTTCGTGCTCGCCGCGCGTCGCAGCGGCCGGGCGGCGGTGCCCGCTGAGCTGGCGCGCCGGCTGCACCGCCCGCGCGCCGAGGAGCTGCGCGCCGCCCTGCGCGAGGTGAGGACCATCTGCCGCCTGCGGCTCGCCGACCTCCTGGGCGCCGCCGACCCCGCCGCGCCGTAGCGGGCCCGGGTCGCCGTCCCCGCGCGCACAGGGCGGGCGCGGGCCCGGAGCCGCCGCACGACCGCTGAGCCCGGGCCACCCGCCACGCCGCCGCCCGCGCACGCCTGGCCGAGCCGTCCTGACCGCGCCGCGCCGGCCCGGCTCGGCCGGCTCCCCCTTCCGTCCCTCGCTCCCCGCGCAGCCCCTTCGACGCACGCTCTTGGCGGGTTCCGCGGCGTGGACCCGGCCGCTGGCGGCTCCCCGGCCTCCCCGCTCGGCGGAGCCGGGCAGAAAAGGAATCTTTTATTCCGCCGCGGAGTGTCTGTTTGTTTTTATTTCTCCCACCTCATTTGCCGCCCCCGACATTGACATGTGAGCAGCGGAAGTGGTTTTCTCACTCGGGGCGGGGGGGGGGCGCCCACTGGGAGCTGGAGCCAGCCGAGCAAAACGCCGGTTTGGGTTTGGGTCCCCGGTGCCGGGGAGGCCGCGTGTGGGGGGCGGCGGGCAGGAGGGAGCCCTGCGATGGGCCGCGTTGGGGAGGCGCCCGTGGCGGGCGGGTAGCTGCCACGGTCGCTGTAGACACAGGGTTGGGAGTGGGGGCGTCTCCAAGCTGGATGGACCTAAAGTCAGGGGCAGACGGCCTCTCGGACCCTCCCAGACGTCGGCCCTTGAGAGGCGACTGCTCAGAACCTCGGGCTGCCACGGGAGACCCTTTAGTCCTTAACACGTTAATAATAAACAATAATTGAATAACACTCACTGAGTAGTGCTGGAGATTCTGGCCCCCAGCGTGAAGATGAGACCCCCCCCCGGGCTGATAAAGCAGGTGATGGAGAAAATTCGGTGCCAGAACCTTTCTGGCCAGAGTAAGCTGTTAAGCGGAGCTTATCAACCCTGGTGCTCCCGAGCCCCAACAGGGTGGGCAGCTGTCTTCACTGAGGACCGGAATTCGCCTTCTGTAGGGGCTCATCCTATCCCCTCTCTCTCAGCCCCACACATTGGAAGGTCTGCCTGACCTCAGTGAACATAGGTTTCTGTTGGCAGAGGAGAAACAGGCTGCACCCCTGCTCTTCGATGCAGATAGGGTGCGAAAGGAAGCCGGGGCTTGGTCCTTTTGAAGACGGGAGCCTCCCTTAGTGACCGACCCTGTCCGTAAGCAGCGGCGACAGCAGCAAGAGAACCTTTTCATAAAAGCAGCGCGGTCATGCTGCAGTCCCACAGACACAGGCCACCTGGCCACACCGGGTATTTCAATCAAGGAACCTCAATCCCTTTCCCACCTTACAGGTGTTCTCCACTAGCGGTCAGGGCGAGGCCCGAAGCCGGCGGCCCGGCTAGGTTGGGGTGCCAGGGCAGGGAGCTGCGGCCACCAGCATCCCTGTAGACTAATGTCAGGGCCTCCCCTGCCTGAGCCTGGGCCACACGCCTTCTCTGGCTGCAAGGCACCAGGTGCTGGCAACAAAGGCCATTTGATGACTCAGTTCCTGTGCTCTAGGACCTTAAGGCAAGAGTGCCCCCCCCGGGGGGGGGCGCCTGGGGCTAGATGCCTGCCTCACTTTGGCCAAGGTAACTTGGGGGCTTTACTGACATACACGAGAAATCTGCTTGACAGAGGGTTTTCTGCCCCAGGAATACAAGCACCACAGGCTGGGCCTGAGACTCTGATTAATCCACTGTATCCAAGCCACCGTGTCCAACCCTAGGATGAATCCATTTCTCAAACAGATGGGCCTCAGCTGCAGAGTCTGGACTGTCCACTGTCCGTGTAAATGCCGGAGAAGACTCCCAGCTGTATTTTTAGACCGAGTTATACTGAGATCTGGACCCCGCAGGCACGACCTGGGTGTCCTCAGCCACATAGTTACATTTCAAAGCTTGTCAGAAATTGTTTATTTCTGCAGGAGGGGTTTCGGGTTGGGGAAGACTCTGGATCCGCCCCTTCAAAGGAGCTGGGAGGGGGAGGGAGAGGAAGAGCTGGCTGAGCGGTGCCTCTTCCGAAGACTCCTGACAGCGCTTGCAGTCCCGCGGGGCCGGCGCAGGACGCGCGACGCGGGCGCCCGGGCGGGAAGGGCCCTGGCCGAAGCCACAGGTAGCTCTTGCGTTGGCCGTTCTTGCCCGGGCGGGTCACCCGGAGCTGCCAAGGTCCGGCAGCGCAGTTTTCTGTGGCCACATCTTGGCTCACACAGCCCTGGACTTCCGCTGCCCTTGGCCTGTCGGAGATGTTCCTCATTTGCGCGCTCCAGTGCGCACGACGCGGGAGACAAGGCAGCTTCTGAGGCCGGGGGGCCACGGTCTGGGTCCTGCCTCCGCGTGCGCACCAGCCGGGCCGGCGCGGTGGCTCGAGCGCGCCCCGCGCGTGTCCGGGAGCCCACACGGGGCTGGTGCAGATTCTAGAGTGGATAATTTCATACTTTACTGACTAATTCGTTCACACACACACACACACACACACACACACACCCCACAATGGCAATACTAAAAAACGGTTGGAAGGTGAGGAGCTGATCTCACTCTTCCTAAGCCTCCAAACCCCTCCGTGCACACTACCTTCGCATGTGGGGGATGCTTCACCGATTCTCACCTCCCCCTTAAAATGTCCAAGGGCAGCCTGGCCATCACTCTTAGCAAAAAAATAGATCTGAGAGCTCTCTGGCTAGGTAGGGATTCACGAGCCCAGTCCAAACCTGGCATTCATGTAGGTAACTGTGAGAACCTGAATGGGGGCCTCCTTGTATTTACCCAAAAAAGTAGGCTTTTTGGTCTGTGTGTCCCAAAGGTGTTCACGGACACTCGTGGGAGGAACGGAAGTTGGGGGGGGGGAGACAGCACAATTTATTTGCATACATTTCTTTACTCCTTGTAAACTTGACACATTTTCAGGGATCAGGCTTAGGACATCAGTTCCAATTCAAAAATAAAGAGCTCTTTTCAGAAAGTATTCACTGAAGGACAACAGCAGACGGATACCTTTTTTGGTAATTGGCGAACCATCTGGGATGGAATTTATGGAAAATTTGTCCTTCGATAAACTAATAGGCAGCAGTTCGCAGGCGCCTGTGAAACAGAGAAATAAATAGGATGTGGCAGGTGGTCAGAACGGTGGAGCAGCACATCCATTCTGACCCAGCACTAGCCGGTGTATCCGACCCGGCACTAGCCGGTGTCGGGTGTGGGGAGTTTAGATTCCGGGAAGCACGCTAGTTGGTTTTGGGTTTCCAGGGTGGCACCAGCAGCCTTAGTAATAATTAACATCTCTACAGAGTCCTATGGGTTGCAAAAAAAATGCACCTATAGTAGCTCATATACTTTTAGTGACTGGAACCGCGAGCTGTGTGACCTTGGGAAAGTCGCTCAACCTCTCCAAGCTTCAGATTTCTCTTTTATAAAATGGAAGGGCTATATGGACAACTAGTCCTTTGTCTCCCCTCCAGAGAGAGTAGCTTCCCAAAGGGCCCAGTGACTCCAGGAGGGCTGAACCTTACTCATAGAGCCTACTGTGCCAGGCTCAGAAAGTATTTTCATACGATGAGCGAAAATCCCTCGACGCACAGACATTGATGAGTGGACAAATGGTAACTGACGGCATTCCACGTCAAAACCAAGCGGAAACATTTAGCTGTTGCTGGCCAGAGAGCTTGATTCTCCTCAATATCGAGGGTTTTCCTGGGGTGGGGGTGTGTGAGACCCAAGGCCTCCCTCGAGGGGACTTTAAATCATACTCTGTGCCTATGCACCAAAAGGAGCTAGAGTGGCTCATACAACACCCACACAGCGACCACAGACTCTAATTTCAGAAGAAAGTGTGAGAATGGGCCACTGCCGTTTCTCTGCATACCATCTACCCAAGGAGCAAAACCAGGCTTCTGTGCCCGGATACCACCCCCTCTCTCGAGAATCATTTCCATAAATCTCCTGGTTTTAACAATATATTTTTGGATAGGAGAGCGTGACAGAAAATGTATATTCCTTGCCTTGGATAAGAAAGCTTGCTGGTTACTCTATGAAAGAATAAGGCGGTGGATTTCCCCCGCTCTTCTGCACCCCGTCTCCTGAGTGGTAAAACTCTACCCCACTGGTGACCTCCCACAAATTCAGGAGATTTAACTCTGGTACAGAAGACCAGACACTCGGTTTGCTTGGGGGGAAACATCCTTGATACCAAGGGGGGCAGGGGCACATCTGCTCCTGTGAAATGAACCCTGGGCAGCTGTGGACAGCTGTGGCCCCTCCCTGCTGTGCAGAATGAACATGTTGGGACCCATTGTGGCCTGATGGGGCTGAAAGGACACTGCCATCGATTTCCTCCCCCGAGATGTTAGCTGAGTGGACCTCGGCAGGGCAGGGTGGGGTTGCTGTGGCCAAACCACCCATTATTGAGCCTTCCTTTGTGCAAGGGAGTCGCTGATTGCGAGCCGGGGCTGAAGAACTCCCTCAATGCCAAATTAAGTCACGATGGAGTCATTTCTCCACCACAGTATAGATCGCCACGCTGAGCAATTTTATCCAGCAACATTGTCTTCTTTCTCACTCTTCCTTAATTATCCTGATGACCCAGATCAATGCAGGGTGAGGGTTTCCTGTGCAGTGGAGGAGAGGGAGACTATTTGAATAATTTCCTTGATTCAGAGAGTAGACGTGCATGCAAAGGTGGATAGAGATGGCCTGCTCTATCTGGGTTCCAAGGGCCACAGGCTCCCCACTTTTCCAGAGCCACAAAAACAGGGAAAGGAGGGTCCCCCCAAGCTAGAGCAAACATCAGGGACCTTTGAGCAGGGAGAGAGTCCTGTCAATGATCTGTGGATTCAAGGAGTGTCTCATCTGCCTCGAGGAGCAGCCCCCCCCCCCCCCGCCCTTGCCACCAGCCGGAATTCTGGAAGCCCCTGACCCTCTCCAAGGAATGTTGAATGGCCTTTACAATGTTAGCAACAAAGAGACGTCCCTTTGATAACCGAGTTGTGGCTGCCCTGTGGTCTTCCTGAAGCTTTATTTACCTGAGTCTCTTTCTTCCCACCCTCTCCTGCCCTTAAAAGCCTGCTCTGGCTCAGGCCCCACGGGGTCACAGCTTCAGCCTCACCCCAACCCCAGCCCCAAGCTTTCCACAAGTTTGCCTCATCCGGGGCGATTTGCTGAAGCCTTCTCTGGTATGACAGGCCACTGGAGTCCAGAGGTCCTGGCCGGATAAGAGCCTCGATTCAGAGAAGCTGGGGACAGCCAAGCCAGGGGGTTCGCAGCTCAGGCCAAAGATTCTGAGAAAGCCACCAAGCATCTTGGGTCCAGGACTGAGAAAGCTCTCCCCTCACCCCAGGTCTGAGGCAGGTGGTACCTCCACCTCCCAGGACCACACATCTGCAAGGCTGGTAGGGTCCCATCAGAGCAAGGCTCCAGGGGGCAGGCACCTGGCTAAGCCCTCAAGATGGAAAGACACCCAAGCTGCCTTCTCATCAGCCACCTTCCGCCCGTTCTGACTGCTCCCCCGCCACCCTGCCCTTTGGGGACCCAGATGGGCCTCTCGGTTGAGAGTGCAGCCCGATGTGAAGGCACACTTGCACTCTGAGAAGCTTATCCAAGGACATCAGAGTTGACTCCTTTCCCCTTACCAAACAGCCTACCCCAGGACCTTGGGCAGGGCCAGGCTAATGCCCTGCAGGCCGGTTTTCCATTAAGACCACCAACTGGGTTTTCACCATGATCTCCTTTCTCCAGCTCTCACAAGCACCCCCAGAGAACCCCGGGTTACCCGTGGTCCAGCCAGCTCTGGGGCCTGGCGTGACCCCCGGGGCCAGAGCAGCCCTGGCGGCTCCCAAAGCATTTGGGCGGGCAGGCCAGAGCCCTTCCTCCAGGGCAGAGCACAGAGACACAGCTGGAAAACTGGGACAATTAGCCAGCGGCCGGCGGCCGGGCCATAAAAACGCAGGAAGCGGCCACTGCAGGGCGGAGGGAATGGCTGTCCCCAATAAAGTGATTGTTCCAAAGAATGCCCACATTCCGAAGACACAGGCTTGAGCCTGGGCCTCGGCTTCCAGAGCTCCAGGCTTGGGAGGGGGTTGTGGGGGACAGAAAGAAGAATTGTGTCTCCAGGAAGAGGAGGAAGATGTTTGCTAGATCAAAAGTCTGCGGTGCCCACCACTTAACCTCCCCCATTCCCACCCCATCAGGACTGCAGAGTCTCCCTCCCCCCCCAAACTCAGTGATATGGATTCGTAATGGGGCTTGCACACACACACACACACACACACACACACACACACACACACACCGTTTTATTTCTTGAGAGGCCCGGTGAACTCAGTGGTCCGGATCAGGCCCCGTAGGTCCACAGGGAGGACTTGCTTCTGTCTCCCACCTCCCGAGGGCTCAGCTCTGGGACCTAGGCTGCCCCACACACCCCTGATGTAACCATCTTCCTCAGGAGAGAAAGGCAGAGGAGGAGGGGACCCAGCGAGCAGGGCATCCCTCCGCCCTGGGCTCTTCCGGATCCTGCTTGGGCCTGGCCTCTCCCCACTCTGCAGTTGTGGCAGGCGTCACCTGTACAGTGGACGTGGTGACAGCACCAGCTTTGGCCCCCATGCAGGGAGATGTGGGGATCAAGGGGGATACGGGGTCTGGAAAAAGCTCCTGAGAGGATACGGTGGATAAGGGACGGCCACCGGAGAGCGCGGCACAGTGAGAACTGCAAGCGCGGCCTTGGAGCCGAGCGGCGTGCGCCCTGCTGATTCCGCCAGCGCGCAACGCCCCCCAGGCGGCGTGCGCAGTCCCCCGCCGGCCCGGACCCCTGCGCTCCTCACGTCCCGGCCTGGCAGCGCCGTCTGGGCTCGGAGAGAACGCCCGCAAGGCCACCGCGGGCCGGCTCCCCGCAGGGGCCCAACGGGGCCGGGCGCGTGCGCTCCTGTCCCTGGCGGTTCCCAAGCCGGGCCTCGCAGCGCGGGTCCCCGCAGCGGCCACTGAGCCCCCGGGCCCCTGGCCCAGTGCTTCAAAACCAGCGAGGGTCCTTTCCCAACTCTTCTCCACTAGGAGCTCTTCAGAAGTCATCATCATTCCTAACGGCCCGGGTCCCCTTCCCTCTCCTAGAGATGAGAAACGATTTTCTTCCCATAATGTTTTACTTTGCAAAGCAGAACGTGCTTTTAAGACAAAAGTATTATGTATGATATGGAAATACCTAGGTATATATTAGCAGAAATTTTGATTCTCTTTTCCTTGATGTTTAACCACTTATTGAAGTACAATAAACAGGTATGGTAGGCTCGCTGAATTTTTGCAGACAACCTCCCGGGGCACCAGCCCCCTGCTCAAGAAACCAGAACTTGGCTAGCACTCTAGCGACCGCCTTTTCCATCTCCCCCCATAACTGCCCTCCACAGCCTGACTTCCGCCACAGGCTCCTTGGCTTGACTGTTTTGAGTCTTTGGAGGTAAATACGTTTTTTAAAAAATGAATTGCTTTAATGTAACTTAAATCCCAAATGTGAGATGAACTCGGAGACGCGGCCTGAAGCTAGTGCCATAATTCATCTTGTTGAGAGGCAAGATGCTTCCTCGGGAGGAAAATAACTGATCAGCAAGGATAGTCGTTTTGGGGCGCGCAATCGTTCTGTCCAGGAGCGCGCAGAGAGGGCAGGCACCGGCCCATCTCCTCACCTCCCGAGCTGGTCAGAAACGTAGTCATCAAAGCAAAGCAATGGCTTCCCTTTTCTTTTCTCTTTGGTGTAGAAGGAGCCTCTGGATGCATCCTCCGCCCCCCCCGCCTCCCCCCCCCCCGCAAATGCATAAACACCACCACTCAGTTTCCAAGCCCAGATTCCCACCAAGATAGCTCTTCCCCCCTCCTCTCTTTTGCAAGTCTCTTGATTTCATTCTTTGAACCTGTGATTGGAGGTTAAAGTGCACCAGGTTGGAAGGAGGAAGCTCTTAACAATAAAGGCTTGAATATTTAGCTGTGATCGGGTCGCAGCCCTCTCTAGAGCTCCCCTCTCCCCTTATCTTTTAAAATGCAAATCGTGTTTCGGGGGGTTGTGCGCGGGGTGCGCGCTGCGCCTCGACGTCTCCAGCCATTGGTGTCTGTGTCATTACTAATAGAGTCTTGTAAACACTCGTTAATCACGTAAGGCCGCCGGCCTGGGGCTCCGCACTCCAGCCGGTGGCGGGTCTTCCCCGCCTCTGCAGCGCAGTGGGGAGGAGGTGGGAGGAAAGAAGGAAGAAAGGGAGGAGGGAGGAGGCTGGCCAGAGGGAGGGACCGCCTCAGAGGCAGAAGCGCCGCGAGGAGCCCGCGGAGCACCGCGCGCTGGGGCGCAGCCTGCCGCCGCTCTCGGCGCCCCCCTCGCCGCTTGCCTGCGCGCCCCCGGCAGCCTCCAGCGTCGGCCCCCAGGCAGCATGGTGAGGTTTGCTGTCGGGCCCTCGCCACCATGTACGTGAGCTACCTCCTGGACAAGGACGTGAGCATGTACCCCAGCTCCGTGCGCCACTCCGGCGGCCTCAACCTGGCCCCGCAGAACTTCGTCAGCCCCCCGCAGTACCCGGACTACGGCGGCTACCATGTGGCGGCTGCGGCCGCCGCGGCCGCGAACTTGGACACTGCGCAGTCCCCGGGGCCGTCCTGGCCCGCGGCGTACGGGGCCCCGCTCCGGGAGGACTGGAACGGCTACGCGCCGGGGGGCGCCGCGGCCGCCGCCAACGCCGTGGCGCACGGCCTCAACGGGGGCTCCCCGGCCGCCGCCATGGGCTACAGCAGCCCCGCCGACTACCACCCGCACCACCACCCGCACCACCACCCGCACCACCCGGCCGCGGCGCCTTCCTGTGCCTCGGGGCTGCTGCAGACACTCAACCCCGGCCCGCCCGGGCCGGCCGCCACCGCCGCCGCCGAGCAGCTGTCCCCGGGCGGCCAGCGGCGGAACCTGTGCGAGTGGATGCGGAAGCCCGCGCAGCAGTCCCTCGGCAGCCAAGGTAGGCGGCGGCGGCGCGCCGCGGGAGGGGCTGCTCGGCCGGCCGCGCGTCCGGGGCGGACCCGGGCGCCCGCAGCGGTGGGCGAGCTCCGCGCCAGCAGCGCCGGGGAGGGCGACGAGGTCGCGGGGGCCGCGACTGCCCGGCTTCTCCGCCGCGCCCGGACCGGCGGGGGGCGGGGGGCGCGAGTGAAGAAGTGGGTCTCCCAGCCGGTCCTGAGAGCCTTCCTCTTTCCAGGGTCCCAACGCTCCCGGGACACCCCTGGGAAGGTGGGCGTAGCGCGGCGGTGCCGGGGCTCGTCCTCCGCACTCGGCGCGCAGCTGGGAGGCGCCGGCGACGGGCGGCCTCGATCTCCACCGAGCCGGGCTTTAGAGCACTGCGCGCGAGAAGGGGGTGCCCTGCGCGCGTGACCGGGTCCGGCCATTCGGGCCAGTTCAAGGAATCTCAAGAGCTAGGGCGGACAGGGAGACCCGGCAAAGCTGCCATTGCAGGAAAGGCCCCCGGGAATTAAGGGGAAGGCGGCGCGCGCCCCGTCATCGAACCTTTGATTTGCAAAGGAGTTGGTTCGATCAGAAGCTGGAGGGCTAGGGGCGAGAAGTCGTGGGAGGCCTCTGGAGTCTGCCGAGGGCGCAGGGGAGAGTGCGTGGTGGGGATTCAGCTACGCCCTAGACAGCGATCACTTCTCCCCACTCTTCCTTCCCAGGGTCCCGGGCTGTGCGTGCGTGTGTGTGTGTGTGTGTGTGTGTGTGTGCGCGCGCGCGCGCGCAGGTTCAAGGCGCTTGCTCAGGAGGTGTCCCCGCAGACAGGCTGGGTCTGCCGGACCGTGGGGGCTCCTTGGGTCCCCTTCTGGTACTGGGATATGTGTCGAAGTGGGAAGGAAGTTGGAATAGGGGTGGCGGGCGAGCGCTGCCGCATCCACTTCTCACTCCCCGAAGGCTCCCAGTCTTCTGCACTTCCGCTTCTCTCTCTTCCCTTCTTTCTGTCCCAGCCCGGCCTGCGTGCAGGTTATGGCCACTTTGCCGAGGTTTATAGCCAATTACAGCCGTATAAATCAGGGCAGCCGTTGGGGGCTGTCTCGGGCATGGGTGTTTGCGTCACCGGGCACATGCCGGGTGGGAAAGGCGGCCGCCCAGGGGGAAGGGACCGCCCGGCCGCGGACCCTCGGACCCTCGGCGCGGTCCCTTCCCCGAAGGGAGGCGCGGCCGCCCGACCCCAGCGCGTGTCAGAGAAGAATGTCTTTTACGGAGCCTGCCTGGGGCGCGACTGGCAGCGGCCGGGGGTCCTCAGGGAGACCTCTGGGGTGTCCCAGGAGAGCGGCCGGGGGCCGGGGCGGGGGAGAGGCAGAGGGAGGGGCGCCCCGGGAGCCCGGGCCGCGGGGTCAGCGGATGAGAGGCCGCTGTGAAGTCCCGCGCCGAGGTGACAGGGCCGCAGTCGGCGCCGGGCGCCCTTGTGATGTTAATGTCGGGGGGCCGCGGCCCGCCGGCCGGAGCCCGACTCCTCTGCGGAGCGTCATCTGTCACCGGGCTAGGGGGTTGGTCCTCGGCCCGGCCCGCTTTGATATACACCTTCCCAGCCCTGCCATTGTCTCTTTTAGGGCCCGGAAAGAGGGTGGTGACTTTCGCAGTCAATAATGAATTCTCACAAGTCCCTCACATCTCTCCCCTCCTGCAGCCCCCTCCTCGGTTCCCAGGGGGTGCGGGGCTCCTCCAAAGCCCTTGGGGCGCGGGCCGCCGAGCGCGCAGGGGTCCTGGTCACCGCGTCCCCGGCCCGGCCCATCGGCCCATCGGGGGTACTGAAAGGGCAGCACTGGGGCAAGAGCCGCCCCCAGGCACCCCAAGGCCAGCATTGCTCCTGGGATGTTGGGCTCCGAGAACTTTTTTGCGCCCTGCTCCCCAGCCCTGAGGTGCCCTTTTGCGGCTCCCACCCGGGCGCAGCGCCAAGCTGCGCCTGGTACTGTGTGCGTGACCTGGCCCGAGCCTCAGTTTCCTCGTCTGTAAAACGGGCGATTCCCGCGGGCGGCCCGCGAGTGGGTGGGAGGCGGTACCGGTGCGAACGCGCCCACCCCTTCGAAGGCTCTCAGAACGTGTGAGTTCCCTCTACTCTCTTAGCAGGCGCGGGGTCGGGGCCGCTGCGCCCATTCAAATGCGCCTGCCGGGCCGTGTTTATGTTAATGCGCCTGGCGGGGAAGGGGATGAAAGCCGGGGCCGCCATTTGCTCAGTAGTGGTAATTCAAACAGAATGCGGTTGTTATTAAGGCATTGAAAGGGCTTTTCTTTGATAAGATCGCCTTGTCCTGCATTGTTTGCGACTGTGTTCGCCTTTCAGCGGCTCGGGGGAGCTCCCTCTGATCCGGCCTGTATCTTCCCAGGGCGCTTTTGTTGTGGGTTGCAAAGGGTTTTACCTGAACAAAGTCGGCCTGCGGGGCATTAAGCACCTCCAAGAAACTCCCAGACCCTTTAGATCTTCCTGTAGGTTTGGGCACTGGGCGACGGAACCTGTTCCGACCGCAGGATGACCAGGGCCCCCGGGGGCCCACAAGGAGCCCTGCCACCGGTCGACCCAGGGCAGAGCCTGTGGCCCCGCCAGGCTCTCGGGTCTGCTCCAACCGCAGGGCACTATTTGTCAAGGCCCTTCAGTAAAACAATCAATCTGAGGTTTAATATGTTGACTCAATCCAATGAGCACAGATCACTGGTCAGGATAGCTCTGGCAGGGTTTTGTGGTAGAAATAAATGGGGGGGGGTCAAAACAAGAAAAAGGGCCAAATGCCAAACCGTGTTCAGGCAGGTATAGCACGTTGCCAGCTGGAGGGGGTCTTCTGCCTGCCAGACCCCGGCTCAGAATTCCACCAGATGGGCCTAGGGTGCCTGGGAGACGATTCTGGTGACTTGAGAGAAGTCTGTCCGCTTCTGCACCCACCCACCCCTTTCAACTTTTAATAAAGCAGACAGAAAGTAACACTGCCACCCCACACAGCTTCACCAATGCAACGCACAACCCCAGCTGCTTTTAGGGTGGGCTTCACATCTCCAGGAGGCCAGAAAGTCTGAATATTCCCCGGACCCTGGAGACTCTGGCCTGCGCCCTTTCCATCCGGGCCTAGCCTGTTCCACTACTCTCTTTGGTTTACCAGATGGCTGGCTGGGTTCTACTATCTTGTGCGTATGAGGCTTTAGTTTTTCTTCATTTTTAAAAACCACTTAACCCCAAGGTTAGTTTAGTTGTCTCTGATAGCCTCGCACCCTCCCCTCAGGACCCTCTGGGGGGTCTTGTCAGACTCGGCAGGAACCAGCCAAACCCTGGCCCCCCGGGGCGGTGGAGGAAGAGAAATAGCCCTTGGGTTAGGGAGGTTTGTCATTACCCATGACTGATGGGCCGCCTCGCGGTTTTCGGTCCTAACTTCTCCCTCCTCCTCAGTGAAAACCAGGACGAAAGACAAATACCGAGTGGTGTACACGGATCACCAGCGGCTGGAGCTGGAGAAGGAGTTTCACTACAGCCGTTACATCACCATCCGGAGGAAGGCTGAGCTGGCCGCCACGCTGGGGCTCTCCGAGAGGCAGGTGCGAACCGCCGTGTCCCCTCCAGGGCCTGGTGGCTGGCTGGCGGGGTTCCTTGGGCTGAGTTGGAAGCCAGGCCCCAGGAGCCACCTAGTTCTGTGGGCAGACGAAAGCCAGAGGATAGAGGGGCGCCTGGCTGGCTCAGTCTGTAGAGCATGCGGCTTTTGATCTCCGGGTCGTGAGTTCAAGCCCCGTGTTGGACGTAGAGCTTACTTAAACAAACAACAAACAGACAAATAAATAAGGAGGATGGAGAGCATTTCCTTCTGAATGCGTTTCGGAAAAGTTCCTTCCACATCTAGTTGTCTTTTCCAGCCATCGAAAATTTTCCCTCCTGTTTTCAGGCTCCAGGAGGCACAAACAACAAAACAAAACTGAGTAGTGCTTTAATCCAGAATTCTATCTGAGTGAAAGAAGACCTAAAGACCTATTTTCTTGGTGCCCAGCACAGTGCCTGGGGGGGAAAATCAATATAAGACCCTAATCTCTACCCAGAAAAACTAGAGCAAGGCTTGACTCATGAACAGTCTATATGGTCTAGGAAAAACAAAACAAAACAGGCCAAATCCACAGCCGGGAAGCCTCACAGTAAATCCCATTCTCACCTTTAAGGTGAGGAATATTAGATTTCAGCTCAGCTTTGTGAGGCCAAAGGTTGCCATCTTGAAGCACATCCATGCTGGGTTGTAGAAAGGGCTTTGCGGTTTCTGTTTCCCTCGGTTCTGAGACTCTGAACTTTTCCAGTAAAGTTGTAGATAGAGGTTGCTTTAGAATGAAATCTGATGCGCAAGGAGGAGGGAAGGAAGGCTCTTCCCTCATGAGGCCCAACTGGGCTGGGGAAGAAGGGCTCAGCGCTGGCTGTCATGGGGCTCTTGAAAGGCTGGGGGAAGGTTTGGGGGCCCTTTAGAGAGGCCACTTCTCTAGTTGGAGGGGGAGATGCTGCTGCCAGGGCTGAATGCCATTCATTTCCCCCCTTACACCGTCTTCTTCACCCTGTTTTTTTCCCCCTCCATTTCCCATTTTAGGTTAAAATTTGGTTTCAGAACCGCAGAGCGAAGGAAAGGAAAATCAACAAGAAGAAGTTGCAGCAGCAGCAGCAACAGCAGCAGCCGCAGCCCCCGCCGCCTGCGCCGCAGCCCCCCCAGCCGCAGCCGGGCCCTCTGAGAAGCGCCCCAGAGCCCCTGAGTCCTGTGTCCTCCCTGCAAGGCTCGGTCCCTGGGGTTCTCGGGCCCGCTCCGGGGGTGTTAAACCCCACTGTCACCCAATGACCTACGGTGGCCCGCAGCAACAGAGCAATTCAGGCCAAAGCCGCGAGGAGCGGCGTAGACTCTGCTAGAATCTTCAGGAGAGTTCCCTCCCCGCCTCCCCCACCAATGTACACCAACTTGTCCAGCCCTCATAGGAAAAATGGGGGCCGGGAGTAAGGACGGGGGGGGGTTTGGAGGCCTCAAGGAAGACATTCTCCCAGATTTTGACTTTTTCTGGTCTGACTTTTCTGCCAGCAAGGAGATGGGATATGAAAACTGGGGCTTCATTTTGTACTCGGCTGGACTGACTAAACAGACCGGGCTTTCAGCCGCCACCTCCCCAGCTCTTGGCCTCCAGAATCTGCAGGACACACCTCTGGTTGAAGCCGAGGGGAGAGAGCGACTCAGGGGATGCCAGTGCTTGGAGCCAAGATGGCTGCCGCCTACTCACTGCCATCCAAGGGCCAGCGGGTCCCTCCTGCTCAAGGGCAGCAAGATTCTGCAACTGCAGAAGCCCCTCCCAGGCAGCCAAGACAGAAACCTGGACCCACCAAAGACTGCAAACCCCCCCAGGTCTTTGTCTGTCTTCTCTTCCCTTCCCAGACCGGGAAAGGCTTTGACTGGAGTCTGCGCGGGCGATGGTGTGAGAGGCGTGGTCATTGGGATCCAGGCCCGACAAGACGGCCCAGGACAGGGCCTTGTTTAGAAAGCCTGTCACCAGAGCTTCTCTGGGCTAAATGTATGTCAGTGCTATAAATGCCAGAGCCAACCTGGACTTCCTGTCATTTTCACAATCTTGGGGCTGATGAAGAAGGGAGTTTTTTGTTGTTGCTGCTGTTAGGGCTGTTGGTCTGTGTAACATCCAAGCCAGCATTTAAAACGCCTTCTGGGTCCATGGGGACAGAAGTGGTATGGTGAAGGGAAGTGGGGGGTATTTGAACACAGTTGAATTTTTTCTAAAAAGAAAAAAAAAGAGATAAACGCGCTTTCCAGATTTCAGATTCTGTATTTATCGTCTTCAGATTTTGTCTGGAATTATTCTTATTTCTTTTTTAAGAAATGCAATATCTTGTCTACTTGCAAGCTAGTATTGGAAAAATCAGGCAGGGAGTGGAGAAGGTTATCTGAACAACCGTGTTCTACCCCAGAGCACCAGAGCCTGAGGGAGCAGGTTTTCAGACCTTCCCCGCCCCCAAGCCCAGGCCCAGCCTCGGATTGTGGAATGTGTGGTTCTCCTGGGGGTGCCTTTGGGCGAAATGCACATCTGAATGGTCAGCTGCTTCCCAGCGGCCAGGAATTATCGGGGGTGGGGGTGAGAGTCCCCTCACACCGTCTCATCAGATCTGCGCCGTTGCCAACATTCTCTGCGCTAGGGATTCCCTTCGCCCTACGAATGCCCCACAATCTAGCTGAACATAAGCATTAAGTAAAAATGCTTTATTTTCTGTTCTCCCAAGGAAACATTTCCATGAATACAGTCTTCTGTGAATCACTGGGCATTTCTGGGAGCCCTTTCTGTCCCCACCCCTTGTTCTTTCTCACGCAATTCCCTCCCTCCCACCTACCCCCCCCCCCCCAAAGAATTCAAGAACCAGTTGTAAGGAGATCCTTTCAGTGGTGGCAGCTTCTTATCTGGCCGATCCGCTGGGGGCCGGGCTGCTGCCCTTGAGGTTCGGGGTCCCGGAAGCCACCGAGCAGGGCCTGGGGAGAAGGGCTTTGCTCTCGATTTTGGTCTTCCCACAGGCACCTTCGGGCCGGACCGCGGCCTCAGCAGGGGAGGAGCGGCCCCGAGGGCTGCGGAGGAAGAGCCGAGCTGCGAGCCCTAAATACCGCCGGCAGCGTCTCCCCGGGTCCGCGGCCCTTCCGGGTGGCATTCCGCTCGCGGATTGAGAAAGGGGCTCTGCCGGCGCGGCCCGCGGGCGCCCGGAGCTGGAGGGGGGGGTCCGCCGACCCTGGGGGGGGCGTGGCGGTCGCGGCCAGGTTACCCCCCCCCGGCGCCTCCTGCGGAGTGGGGCGCGCGGGGAGGGGGCGCGAACCCGCACCCGGCCGCGCCCACCCGCCGCCGCGGTTGCTATGCGTTGCCGTGAAACGCCTGTCAATAAACCCTGTTTGGACAGAGCAGCGAGAGCACAAGGGTTGTTTGCTTAGTGGTTAGAGGTTCAAAAGTCGGCATTGTCCCGCTGCAAGCGATTGCGAGTTCTTCCCCCGCCGGTGCGGCCCCAGCTCCGACGCCCGGCGCGCGCCGGGCACCGCGGCGAAGAGGGGGGCTCGGCTGCTCTCTGAAATGCAGGCCCCGGGGCGCGAGCTGCCCGCCGGTCTCCCAGGTCGCGGGGGGGGGGGGGCGAGCCGGGAGCCCCCCGCACCGCTCCCCCAACCCCGGGCAGACGAGGCCACCGCGCTTGGGACGGCAAGACCCACCCCTCGAGCAAACCCGGGGGACACGGGGACGTGGCGCGAGCGGGCTGTGCCGTCCAGGAGGAGCGGGGGGCTGGCGCCGGGACGCCTGGTGACCTCGCAGCTGCGGGGACCGGGACGACTCCCCCGCCCTCCCCGCGCCTCGGCGCTCCCTGCGCCCTCCCGCTGGCCGCCAGGGGGCGCGCACGCTCTGGGAAGAGCGGGGAGCGGCGCCCGCGCTCGTCTGGGCGTCCGGCGCGGACCCGGAAAGGGACGTGGTTCTGACCCAGCGGGACGGGGACGAACTCCAGCGGCTGCTCCCTCACTGGGGCGCGGCGAGGTGTCTCCGCGGTGGCCGTGAACCTGTTGCCACTAAGGCAGGCGCAGGAGATTCTTCACTCTGTTGAGTGTTCAAGAAAACCAAATAGGGGGGAAGGGAGTACTCGCCTTCCTAAAAGGGTCTTCTTGCACAAGATTTATTTCAATAAAAATATTACAGTAATATGGGCATGATATCAATATCTAGAAAGACTGAGAACTTAGGATAAATATGGGGGAGACTGCACCCGTGTTGTGGAACCCCTGTCAAAACAAAGCATACATGGGGAGTCCACGCTGGTTCAGGCGACCCTTGATCTCAGGGTCATGAGTTCAAGCCCCATGTTGAGCGAGGAACCTACTTAAAATAAAAAAAAAAGTTAAAAACAAGTATATATGGAGAGAAGACAACCTGAGTCTTGATTTTTTCCTTCTGCGAACAATTCATGACTTACTCATATTCATCCAATAAAGTTACCAAGATGGACTCTTAATGAAAGCAATGAAAGTTTCAACCAGTTTCACTTCTTTCTGATAATATCTATAAGAGTCCTACAATAGTCAAGAAAACGAATCTTAAATAGAAATCTAAATATATAAAGAGTACCATTCTTGCTGTGGTTATCCAAATAAGAGAAGGCAACAAGCGGAAATAAAGGCATTTCAGCTACACTGGGCGCCTGGCTGGCTCAGTTGGTAGAGTGTGTGACTCTTGATTTCTGGGTGGTGAGTTCAAGCCTCAGGTTGCACATAGAGCTTACTTAGAAAAAAAATCTTAAAAAGATTAAGAAGATCTAAGGGGCATGGTTTGCATCTTGTTTTAGAGGAGACCTGCTATTTACTAGTTTACTGACCTTGCGGAGATCCCCACCACTAATAGAGAAATCAAATAAGGTAAAAGTAAGGGAATGCAACTTACGGCACACACTTAGGATTAAACCCCAATAATAACAAGCACTCAGGTGCATCATGAACCATCTTTCGTAAATTGCGGAGGAATCCTTACAAAGACCTACTGGACAAGAATGATTTCTCAAATCACACATGACGTTTTCCGAATTCATTCAGTGTTGCTCACTTTGTCAAGCAAGTAGCCCCCAGTCCATTGTCTCTTGATTTCCACTGCCTGGGCGTCTGCATAAAATCTCAAGTGGCAAAGCATTAACACTCCAGACGTGAACACGACTCACTGATGTGCATAGTTAAACTTGCCTTTTCATCTACCAGGGATCCCCAAACACTTCTTGTACTAAGGAGACTCAGATTAGTTGAGGAGGTAGTTAGGAACCTCTATCAGGACACTTTCAACCCAAAAGGGGCAGAGAGGCAGGTATTCTAACTAGATGGCATTGACGGTTTCTTTACTTTGAAGTAATTTGCATTCCAGTATCTCAATGTCCATTCTGTACTCTTCTGGGAGATGCCCAAAAAAGTTGCTGTGGATTTAGTTCCTTAAGGCTGATTCATCCCTTGAAGTAATTTCAAGCAGTTTACTCCAGTCCCCCCAATTTTCCCTTACACTGAAACTACAGCAATAGATTCTGTGTTACATTAGTTTTGGGGAGAATAAGGAACACATTCCTATCTAAATAACGGAGATTAACTTGTCCATATTTAAAATTAACATTTATTTCTTAAAACATTGCGACCATACAGACTTCTAACCCCTAGAATTCTTTTTTATTTTTTATATGTGGAAATTTATTTTTAAATATAATTTATTGTCGAATCGGCTAACATACAATGTGTACAGTATACTCTTTATTTTGGGGGTAGATTCCCATGGTTCATTGCTTCCATACAACACCCAGTGCTCATCCCAACGCAGAGTGTCCTCCTCAATGCCTGTCACCCATTTCCCCTCTCCCCTGCCCCCCTAATTCTTAAAAAATTTTATTAACCCCCATAATTCTTATATTTAATCTTAGTTTCCTTTGCCTTTTTCCTTTTCACCTCCTCCTCTTTCTCTGCAAGAAGATGACTGTGATTTTAGGAAACCAAGCAGATTTTATTGATGACTGTGGGACTGGCCTGGTGATACTCGACCAAAACAACCATTAAATGCCTGATTAGCTACAAACCAGAGGGAATATATAGTTTTCATATCATTACTTTCTTGAAGATTATGCAATAAGATGCAAACAAAAACAAGACCTCACAAATTCCAGATAAAGAAATTAGAATCTTCCAGTTCCAGAGATTGTACCAACATTTATCGTGACATTCTTCTTGGAAGAATCAGTTTAGAGACGGTGAGGGCAAGCACATAGATGACCTTTTGGCTCCTAGGTCTTTAGCACCCAAAGATT